ATCATGGATCCGACCAAAGCTAGAGTCATGCACATGGCTCTGGCTTTCTGATCATAAGGTCAGAGTTTGACTGAAGTCACAGATAACAAAAATACTTTCATTTTTACTGAGACAACAAAGACCTCTTAGCCATTGCTGTGTAGTTAATGTTTTCTGAGTGCTCTCCCAAAGACAAAGTACTGCGTGGTTACAAATCCATTATTGCTCTTCCCCATGGTCTGACAGCTCTGTGCTTTCAAAAGGAGGAGAGCAGTGAGAAACGTGGCATGCTGTAAGTGTCCAGTTGTCTTCTCTGACCAAGTGAAAAAATTATGATGTGGAAGATCCTTCCCTTTCACAAAATCCTTTCCTTTCACGAAATTCCTGCTTCCGTTTACCAAATTGATCTGTGAGTGAAACACGCGCTGTGTGTACAATTTACAGTGCAAGATCAAATTGTCCTGAAGAAAATATGACTTGCCTGTGGCAAATGCACACAAAACTATTCTGGATGGCTTATCCTATAAAAACAATGTTTTCAGTATGTACTGCTGCAGGAAAACTGGAGGTTTCATCAGGAGTTAAGAATCTGAGCTGTAAGCTCTTAGATAATTTGAATAATTGGTCTCTAGCATAACATGTTGCTACTATGTAGCTAGTTAATGTGAGGTAGTCATGTTTCTTTGGTAAGTGGGTGACTTAAAAATAAAATGTGTCAATTAATTTGGGATACTCTAGAAAAACTCTGGGTATGAAATTCCAAATATATAGATATCAAAGAGAATGAACCAGCTGTTCAAAAATATTCTAAGATGCTTTAAAAGAAAAAATTGCAAATAAGAAAAAAATCTATAGTAGAATATTGATGATGTAAATAAACATTATTTGCAATTTGAGATTGCAATTTTCATCATGATAGAAACATACCCCAAGATGTACTGGGCAGCTTCTTTATTCAGCGCTTTCAATGAACTAGTAACAGATGTTAGATCTTTCAGGTAAAGATGGGTAATGTTAGATTTATATAAAACAAATTCTATTTAAGTCTTCCATATTTTGAAAAGCAGATTACACAATTTCAAGGTATTGTATTTCTCGCATCTAGCACATTCTTGGTTTTGAGGTGCATAGAAAGGAATGTTAAATATCAGCTTGTTCAGTGTTTAGTAGTTATTTGAGTAAAGCGTGTTTTAAGCATGTTTGGGTAAAGCAAGTATTTAAGCATGTTTCACCTGAAATCTTAATTAATATTAAAAATCAAACAATTAATTAGCATTTAAAGATATTACATTTTTCTCTTCAAAATACCATAGAAGTATTGTAATTATGGATTTTGATTCTTTTCATGCCTGCTGCTGAGTTTATGAAAATAAACTTTCACCCTGTTTTTTCCATTTATGAAAAAGGAATGGTCCCAGCCCTAGTCAAGTGCTCTGATGCTTGTGGAAAATAAATCTGCTCTTTGTGTGTGTATTCAGTGTTATCCCTATGATGTCGAGAATTCCTTCAGGAGAATTTATTTGCAATGACAATTTTTAAAAAATTTTGGTTACATGCTTTTTATTTTGCTCATTTGAATACAAATTTAATACTAAAATGGAGCTCTCTGCTCCATTAGAATGCCCTCTGCTGAATAATACTGTGATGTATATAGCATAATTCCATAAATTGAATCGGAATTAGTTGTTTGCTAATTAGTTGTTTTGAATGTAGTTCATGTAGCTTTATATTTAACACCTCAGTCCTTGCAATCAGAAGTTTGTCTTTCATTTACTTCTTATTGATGCTTTATTTTCCTCAGTGGAAATACAAATAACTTTTGTGTTTGATCGCAGTCTGTATTAACCTTCTAAAACAACACACTAAGCTTAAACCAATTTCCATTAAGTATGTTAGATTACTTTTAGATTTCTACTTTTTGATGCATTGTGAGAACAGTTATACTGGGGGAAAAGAAATACTCACTGACATGCCTCAGAGATGAAAAATAGGCATTTATAGGAAAAATTAGATCATGAATTACAAATAGTAGCATAAGAGATTAAAAGATGTTGATATGGGACGGAAAAAAAATTGCCATGCTTAAACAATTATTTTCATCTATAAAGAAAAGATTTTGATTAGAAACAAAACACTCAAAAAGAGAAACTGAAAAAATCCCATACCCACTTCTCCCCCAACAAAAAGCGCAGCAAAAACCAAAACACCCAAGCAGAAAAAACCCACCGAAACCCCAAGCTGCACGTGCTCTCACATGGCCTCCCAGCAATCAGCCACTGGAAACATAGATCAGAAGAACTAAGAAATATCCTTGCTTTTGTTGCTTAGCTGGAAGATAGAGTAACTGGTATCCAAGTTAAGGAGTGGATTTTGGAATTCTTAGGTAGAAAAATCTAGTAGTTGATATCACAGTAATTGGTTTGGGCTACTGCTCTTGTATACATTGAGTCTTTAAGCTGTATAAAGCTCTGTGATAAGGAACTGTAGCTCTGAGCTGGAGATGGGAGTAGATCAACTACATGGTTTTATCTTTCTGGCAGTAAATTATACAGTAGGACCAACAGATAAGGCCCAAGGTTTGGGTGTTTTCTGGTAGAGCAAAAATAAACAGTGATAAGTTGCAAATCAGAAAATATGATAACCACTAAAAAAAGTCATTTCAGGCTCCTGACAGAACTGCTTTATCTGAAGGGTTCTTGGGATGTGAGAATCACTTGGGTTGCAAGCAAATGTTTTTGCTCATTAGGTTACTGTCTTTAGATTTTGGAAAACAGTAAAATAAGGACAATCTTTTTGATTCCTTAAAATAATGATAAAGCTGTAAAATGGGAACAAAATGGGAAAAGTTAATATCTTTGTTAGCTAAAATGTTTTATAATATAATTGAATTTTTGCTAAATGTCCTAGCATGTTGTATTTTGTGTCAAGAGTTGAAATTGATTCCTTAGGACAGCTACCACCATGGGGTCTCTTGGATGGTTTAACTATATAGTTAGGAGAAAAATAATTAAAGAAAATCTGGCATTTGTATATGTGGTTTCTACAGCACAGAAACTACCTGAACATTCTAAGATTACTTCTCTCCCTACTAGTTTGTCTTAATTTGCTTCCTTCTTTTTAATATACATAATTGCCAAAAGTAGAACATGCCATTTGGGTCAAGAAAATGCTCTAAAATTTTAGTTAGGCCTTTGTGAAATATGGTACGTATATAAATGATGTCAATTCAGATCAGGATTGCACTAGTTAATGTTAAGTGGGCTGCGTGGTATTTAACAAACAGAATACTTTGTTAATGCATCATTAGCAAAAAAAAAATTTTTTTTCATCCTTCATAACTGAGTGTTCATAAGCAAGCCATGTTTGTTGTTCTGGACCACAGGTTTGCCTTTTCAGTCTTGCTAAGTTACAAACACTATTGATTAGCTGTACCAGTACCATGGATCTAGGACAAATGGCTTGGGCACCCGCGTTCAAAAATCCCTCAAATGGGCTAAACTTATATTAATGTCTTAACAGCAGTATGGTCTTATGGATTTCTGTGCACAAAATATCCCACAGTGGTACTTGCAGCCAGTGTTTATTCTAAAGCAGTGTCAGGTGTGCTTCTGAAGGGGTTTGCAGCTCAATGTGCCCTACTACTTGTCTATCCAAACAGCATAAACATGGAAAAATCAACTGCAAGTGCAGAGTGGGAGAAAGTAATGTCTTGCCTGCTGTGATGCTCATGAATCAAGAGATAGTTTATGTTAACGATTCCTGTACTGGAGATGAGTATAGCAAGCTTAGACTTTTGTTTTGAAAGGTTGCTGGAATAGAAGTTGCTGGAATACTAAGTTTTCTCCTTCTTCATGAACAGATGTGGACTGACAGGTTTAATTTTGTGGAAAGAAAAATTTGTCATGTTAGTGCTAAATTTAAGGTATTGTCTCCTAGATGCATGTTTCTTTTGTCTGCCTTTGTAGTCTAGATTAACAGTGGAAATATATTGACAGAAAATCTACTTGTGAATTAAGATTTGCAGCAGGATTACTTGCTACATAGAGATTCATAAAGGAGATAAGAAAAAACGAATTTTGCACAGGGGTACCTAAAATATGGAGACATTCTCTGGAGTTGTATTTAATGACACCCTGAAATTTATAATTAGACAAAGCAATCAATCTGCTTTTATACCAGCTTGGAAACTTCCTGGAGAATGTGACAGAACAAAAATTATTTATTTACTAATATTTAAAAATTACATGAGAAATAATTGTTATATCACCAAGAAAAAAAAAAAAGAAAATAAAATAAAAGAAGTAGCATACCTCAGGTGTCCTGGATCTTACCTCTCTGGGTGTTAGTATCAGAAATTTCCAAAATTTCTTATTTCTGCTATGTGCCAGTCAATTATTAATCTTCCATGGATCATGAAAGCTGCCATATTCTTCAGGCTACTTGCTCTGGCAGGAGTACAGTGTACCTAAATGCAGAGGTTGTATGACTAGAAAAAAAAAATATTCTTCTTATTAAAAATTGTATTGTACAATTCTCTGATTGTATACAAGGAATTATTTGGGTTTGGAGGGACCTCCAGTGGTTTCCTCATTCGTCTCCTAGATCAGCTCCAAGCAGGCCTGGGTGGGGAGGTTTCTCAGGGCTGGCTCCAGCTGAGTCTGGGATCCTGGCAGGATGGAGACCCCACGACCCCTCTGAGCATCCCGTGCCAGTGTTTGCCCTTCCCTGCAGTAAATGCTCACTGCTCTTGGATGAACTAGCAAGTAGGAGCCAACTGCTTCATCTTTCTGCTGTTGTCCACTGAATCCTTTTCCTCTTTTCCTGAACCTGAGCATAAACCAAAGCAGCTGCTTTCATCCTGCAGCTCTTGTTGGACTGCTTTGTTCTCCTTGCAGAGGAGAACTCTTCTTACACTGAAATACTTAAAAAAAATATGTAGTTTGATTGTAATTTTGTGTTAGCAAGAAAAAGCACACTTCTGGTCGATTCTGCTTCAGTAATTTGCTTTCCCTTTTCCATAGGAGTCTATTGCAAGGTGAAAGAAAGTCTGTGAGACATTGGCAACAATCAGGCAACTATTTCTTTATCTTTAGAGGTAAGCTGTCATTAAGTGTGTTGTTTGGTATCGTATTGGAAGGGAAGTGAAAAGAAACTGGAAAATTGAGAGTGGTGTTTAAGAAACCTGACATTACTATGCATAGAACAGTTTGCCTGTTTCTGTGGATGTCTATGCCCAGTACTATTTGTGCTTATCTTTTACCAATATTACATACCTTTTACCCTTCATCCATTGGAGTGCAGAACTTCCAACTTACCCCATCTCTTGTTGGCAAATGTTTTAAATAGGCGTTTCTTCCCTCTCTCACTGGCAGCAGAAAAAGTACTTTAACTGTTTGTTCAGTTATATAACCACGATGATAGTGGATTTTATAGGAGTGTATATAGCTTCTGATTGAGGCAAGGTCAATCACATTTTTTGCCAGGACAATGTTTCCCTGAAGTTTCTCACTGTGAGAAAATTTTATTGACTGAAGATGGGTTTTGCCTGCTTTCAAAATACTGGCATGCCAGCCCCTGTATCTCAGTTTTAAAAACTGGGCACTCATCAATTATAGAAGGGTGGTAGTAACTCTCCCCTTACTGGGAAAGGTAGGGGCTTATCAAGAGAATGAAGTACTGCTTTTATTTTTTAACATCTTAATTACTTAATTTTGTGTTATTATAGAAATTAAAGGATATGCTGAAATATAAATTTTAGTAAGATGTCTTTTCAGAGAAGGAACAGTGTGATATGTTACCCATCTGTGGAATGCTATCATTTACAAAGGATAAAGGATATACCAAGAGATTAATTGGGTGTTCTCTTTTTCTGAGGCAGCTTTTTCTAGGAATAGCTGGTTTTAAGCTTTTCACTCCAAGTTCTGTGAACTAGATTTCTACAATGAACAGCCCAAAGGAGCATAAACAGAAGCTTTTGTTGTGGAATGTACTTCCTTTTTATTTTCAAGTGTTGATTAACCCTTTTTAGAACTTTCTTTTAATGTGACCAGACAAAGAGACACTCATATATCCCTTTGGGATTTGCCTGCAGTGAACCTTCTTCAAAAATCATGACCATGGCTGTCTAAGTGACAAGGCTCTCAAGTTGTTAAAGTAGATTTAAATGAGAAGAAAGCAGGATGCCAGAATGCGTTGCTGTAGGTGTAGTGATGCAGTACTGTGAGGGCATCAACCACACAGGTTGTTGCTGACAGGATGGAAACCAAATCCAGCAGCATGCAGTGAGACACATACAGCAATGTTCTCACATCTGAACATGCAAGCATTTAATACATAAAGATGAAAACACATTATGCTTTCCTTTGTCTCGGCTTAGGAATTTCGACAAAGTCTTTCTTGGTAACAAGGACATTCTTTGTAATGTAGATATATGTATACCTTTGCCTTTACAGTCATAACAACTTCTTGTCAAATGAACCAAAAAGTCCCAAGTGAGACTTTCCCATCATGATAGAACAGGAACTCAATAACTTGTTATTCAAAACCCTGTGATAGAATACATTTCTGTCTTCAGAAATTGGGTTCTTTGCACATTTCCCTGGGAAAAAATGCACTCCAGTGATTGTTTCAATGTATGCACTGGGTTATAAAGGGAGTTTCAGAGATACTGTACTTATCAGCTGCACATGAACAGTTTGTGGTTTGAAGAGGGAACCTGGGATGGAGAAATCCAACCTTCTGTATCCAATTTTACCCAGTGGAATATGGCATTAAACAATCCTATTGTGTTTAAAATTTCATTTTGTCTGTTGGAACACTAGACCATATGGTTTATTTGGAGAAGCTTATGGATGGTTTGTTCATCTTTGTTTCCTGATTTTCTACCTTATATATCAGATAATGTGAGACAATTAATTGTGAATATCAAAGGTAATAACCCCTGAAGTTCAGCATGGTGTTAAACTATACCTTATGTCTTATTTATTTTATTGGAATACAAAAGTTGTGTCTTTTTATTTAGGTTGCACATTTGAACTAGTCGTGTCAAGCTGACATATAAAAATCCGGTAATTGTGAAATATTAAATTAGAAAAGTGTATGGATCTTATGTTTCATAAGAACTAGTTGAAGAATTGAACAACCTCAGGAAAGATATTTTGTGAACCAGACTTGAGCTATATTTTCTGACATCAGCCAGTCTTCTTGAAATTTTTAGAAAATCCTGGTGGTGGTGTTTTAGGTTTTTTTTTGTTTTCTTTTTCTTTTCACGGTAGCCAACAGTTATTTACTTGTCTTATTTTATACATTTGTTTTATACAATAGTTTAAAAATGGAAAATTTTATTAAGATATGTATTTAGGATACAGTATAGCTAACCTGTAGAAGTGCTTAAGTTATGCAAACATATATGCTGTGTGAGACACACTAGAAGGCTGTGTATCTCTGGTTATTTATATAGCTTTTAGCATTCCTGTGTATTGCAATTAATTTAGATCCATGTTTTCAGCATGTTGCATTGTTTCTTGCTTCTGAGAGTTGGTGGAACACCTCACAAAGAAATGCCCTTTGACGATAAGATTGCAAAGTGGGAGTGAATGAGCAGAAGAGGAGTATGCCAGACTATAATAATGTTTGTAGCATTAATTAAACTGTTTGTTAAGTAATATATTCAGACAGATGAGTGTTTCCCAGCTTCTACATAGCCCATTATGTGTTCTAGTAAATTAAAACTAGGAAACCTTTGTTGGAGTTATAGTGCTCAAACTGACATCTAATTCCCCCAGACAATAGGTACAAGCCTTCAAGCCTCTCTAATTCTTTCCAGTCTTTACATTTATTGATTCTTTTGTAAACGTGTTTCATCCAATCTATTACCAACAGCACTGGTTAGAAGTGTGAAGTTTGCCACGTCTGACCTAAGGCACATTGAAACCAGCAGCTATCTGCCAGACAGCCATACAGTTGGGCATCCCAGATTTACTTCCAATCACTAGAAAATTTGGACCTTTATGGCTGGTTTGGTTCCTGCTTTGTGTGGAGGGACTGACATGTTAATTCTTTGATCTGTCTGGTTTGCAACTGAATTTAGTTCAGCTATCATTTGTATTCCTGGTTCTAAATGTTTTATTACTCGGGGTGGCTTATATAAGTAGCTTGTTTTGATTCAGAACTTCATTTTCCCTAGTCCTGAGTAACGTTTTGCGTATACATATGTATGTTTCTTGCTGCAAAGTATGGATTTAATCCTTTTTTTTTTTTAACTTGTCAGGTTTTTTGCATGTCTTATTATGACAAAGTTACCAAATAATTAATGCATAATCTCTGAATGGATATAGTAAATTTTAGTGAAATGGAGCAGTAAATTTTAGTGAAATGAGCACAATACATTTTTATTATTTTCTTCATGTTATACTGTAAAACATATGTAATTAATAATTGATAGTAAACAAACACATCTTATTTTTCCTACCATATTCATCACCAGTTTCAAAGCTTTGAAGTTCAGTAAATAATTTATGATAGTTGTTAGTGTAAGGAAATCTAACTGTACTCCTGATCCTGCTTGCTTTTTGTCCTTGTTCTCAAGCATAGCTTTGATTGGTAGCCGAACTGAATGATAAAGGATGTATGAATAACTGATGGGGTTCATTAAACAGATGAAAATTAAATCAGCTGTTTTTAATTTAAAAAAAAATTGTAAATACATAGTGAAAATTTTGTGTATCTTTATTTTTTTAATTTTAAATGAATCACATAAGACAATGAAGAACTGAATGTTTTTAATACAAAGTGAAATGTGTTTTCAGCTTGCTTTTGTTCTCAAAACTTCAATCAGGTTGTCTTTTAGCCTTGTTAAATATCTTGCTGAGATCTGCTGTATTTGCTGAGAATGTAACAAAAGGTGTGAGAGTACAAAAATGAAGAAATACATGGTTTTGGCCTTAACTGAAATGTTCCATAAAATGTTAGTTCCTTTGTTTTTCCTTGCTTGCATGGATAACCCAAAGATTGTGAAGAGATTTTTAAGCATTGAAGAGATTTTTTTTCCAGATCATTCACGCTCAAAAGGTTAGCTTTTATTTGTATCCTTATAAAATTTCTTAAATAATCCAGCAATATATTGTGAGTCTTCAAATGTATTCTGACTTACCAAAAACTTGAAAAAAAAGCAGGGAAAAAAATACATGACTTCAGGCAGAGAGGTAAAAATTCTAATTCTGTAACTTCCAGGTACCGGTTTATGGCATCTCCAGTTTAACTCTCAAAACAGAGTGAGATCAGGACATAGCAAAGCAGTTTGAATCCATCCTCATTTGGCTGCAAAAAGCAATGCAGAGTAAAACCTCTCATGGAGTTTTGCCAGACTGAGTGGGGAACTGTGGTAGAAGTTTGATGTACCTAAGAATATATTTAATTTCTTTTTACTTTTTAAAATAAAAAATTTGTGTGCATATAAATGGAGCTGCACGACAGCACTTGTGCTGAAGGCGACAGGACTGTGTAGGAACCTGTGGCCATTCTGTCCCTGGGCAGGCTGCGGCCTGCAGTGCTTGTCTTGCTGTGTTGCTGTGCATGCGTGGAGCCCCGGGCCTTTGTTTCTGACACGGGTGGTCTGGGAGCACGGGGTGTAAATGGGTTCTGTTTTGTACAGCTGTAATTACAATGAGGCATCACAGTGGAGCTTTGAAGAATATTTTCAATGTAGGGCTGAATATATAAGGCACTAACCAGGAGGAGGCTGTTATTCCATAGTCTAGGGTCTTCTGGGTCTGAGGTTTAGGCTGGTTTGTGAGGCTTTTCACTTAAAGGTGATTTATAGGTATCATGAGCCAGATGTTGTGAAAATTACTAAGAATAGCAGGAACCTGTTATTGGCTTTCAGAAATTTATTGTCTCTCAAGGTTTCCTGTACGCCCCTGTTATTTCCCTTGAAATCAGTGTGGGACTTGCCTTGTGTAGGCAAGACCACATTAAGCCATTATTGTCATTAGTTCACTGATTTTTCTGGTGTGGCAGATGACAGAAGAGGAATGTTTTGGGAAGTTTCTGACTTTGACCAATATGGTGATAATTTCACTTGGCAAAGGCACGTTA